ATACTGTATGTACACTGCTCAAAAAAATTAAAGGAACATTGTTTAAAAAAAATCTGTTAGGAGTGTTTCAGTAGCGCTTAGGAGCGTTTAGTGTTTTTTTTTCTCTGCTGGAAAAAAGTTCCAAAAAATTCTACAAAAACAATTTTTTTTCTGCTCCTAGACGCTGAAGCTCAAAAAATGGTAATAGCCTAAAGTAGTGTGCATGGACACATAGGAGGACACTATTTAGCTGCTAGGAGCAGAAAGAAAAAATGCTGATAATAGCTTCTGAGAGCTTAAGAAAACGCTAGTGTGCATGGAGCCTAAAGCACACTGCTCAAAAAAATTAAAGGAACACTTTTTAATCAGAGTCTAGCATCAAGTCAATGAAACTCCTGGAATATTGATCTGGTCAGTTAATTAGCCGAGGGGGTTGTTAATCAGTTTCTGCTGCTTTGGTGAAATTAAATACAGGTGGACTAGGTGGACTAGGTGGACAGCAATGAGATGACCCCCAAAACAGGAATGGTTTTACAGATGAAGGCCACTGACATTTTTTTCCCTACTCATCTTTTTCTGACTGTTTTTCATTAGTTTTGCATTTGGCTAGGGTCAGTGTCACTACTGGTAGCATGAGGTGATACCTGGACCCTACAGAGCTTGCACAGCAGTCCAACTCCTCCAAGATGGCATATCAATACGTGCCATTCCCAGAAGGTTTGCTGTGTCTCCCAGCACAGTCTCAAGAGCATGGAGGAGATTCCAGGAGACAGGCAGTTACTCTAGGAGAGCTGGACAGGGCCATAGAAGTTCCTTAACCCATCAGCAGGACCAGTATCTGCTTCTTTGTGCAAGGAGGAACAGGATGAGCACTGCCAGAGCCCTACAAAATGACCTCCAGCAGGCCACTGGTGTGAATGTCTCTGACCAAACAATCAGAAACAGATTTCATGAGGGTGGCCTGAGGGCCAGACGTCCTCTAGTGGGCCCTGTGCTCACTGCTGGCACCTTAGAGCTTGATTGGCATTTGCCATTGAACACCAGAATTGGCAGGTCCACCACTTGCACCCTGTGCTTTTCACAGATGAGAGCAGGTTCACCCTCAGCACATGTGACAGACGTGAAAGGGTCTGGAGAAGCCGTGGAGAACATTCTGCTGCCTGTAACATCATTCAGCATGACCGTTTTGGTGGTGGGTCAGTGATGGTCTGGGGAGACATATCCATGGAGGGACGCACAGACCTCTACAGGCTAGAAAATGGCACCCGGACTGCCACGAGGAATCGGGATGAAATCCTTGGACCCATTGTCAGACCCTACGCTGGTGCAGTGGGTCCTGGGTTCCTCCTGGTTCACGACAACGCCTGGCCTCATGTGACAAGAGTATTGAGGCAGTTCCTGGAGGATGAAGGGATTGATACCATTGAATGGCCCCCATGCTCGCCTGACCTAAATCCAATAGAACACCTCTGGGATATCATGTTTCAGTCCAACCGATGACGCACCTCAGACTATCCAGGAGCTCAGTGATGCCCTGGTCCAGATCTGGGAGGAAATACCCCAGGACACCATCCGTCGTCTCATTAGGAGCATGCCCCGACGTTGTCAGGCATGCATACAAGCACGTGGGGGCCATACAAACTACTGAGGACCATTCTGAGTTGCTGCAATGAAATTTCAGCAAAATGGACTAGCCTGCTGCATAATTTTTTCATTGATTTTTAGGGTGTCTTTGAATTTAGTCCTCTGTAGGTTGATAATTTTAATTTCCATCAAACGATGGGGCATCCTTACATTTCTAACACATTACCCATCCATATCAGTATAGAGATCCAGCAGGAGATGTTTCCCCATTGATTTCTGATGTGTTTTCAAAGTGCTCCTTGCATTTTTTTCAGCGGTGTATGTAAAAGCGCTGCACAAATTGATGGAGCTATATAGTTACCTGTAATAAATAATAATAATAAAAAAAATGGACTTGACCCTTTTTTGTAATGCAACACACTACCCTGCGATGGCGTTCTCTACAACGCAGATGCTTTTTCGTATGCACTTTCACTGGGGAAGGGGGGGACAGGAGCAGTATAGCGCAGCCATTGTGTAAGACTGCTATGTCTATGTATGTAATGAGAAAATAATTAATATATCATTGCAAACTAAACATAGATACACAATAATACGATCTTCTTCATCAATTATCTCTTTTACATGAATATAAATAGAAGAAACACGCACTGCAGATTTCCCCCGGGACATGGCGGATCAGGTGATGTGTCAGGTTGGCAGCTGAATGACGTGACTCATCCCAGCTAATCATTTAGGAAATAAAACCCTTCATTCATATACGCTTTAACATGTTAATGTTGTTTTAAAATCTGTATACATTTTTGTTTAAAGCTGCCGTTTATTCTGCTTCTATTCCTTCTGAATCTGTTTATATTTCTTATATTTGACACCCCCTATCCCTCCCCCCCCCCCCCCCCCCCGCTTCCTCCTTCCCTCCTCATCCATATGCTAGTAAAATGTTTAAATTAAACCTTTCCTTATTTAACCACTTGCCTACCGGGCACTTTTACCCCCTTTCTGCCGAGGCCAGTTTTCAGCTTTCAGCGCTGTTGCACTCTGAATGACAATTGCACGGTCATGCAACATTGTACCCATATGACATTTGTATCACTTTTTTCACACAAATAGAGATTTTTTTTGGCGGTATCTAATCACCACTCAGTGTTTTTTTTTTTTTGATGAACAAACGAAAAAACAAATGTTTTTATTAGTTTTCTATTATAAAATTTTGCAAACAAATCATTTTTCTCCTTCACTGATGTGCGCTGATGAAGCTGCACTGATGGGCAATGATAGGCAGCACTGATGGACACTGATAGGCAGCACTGATGGGTATTGATAGGCTGCACTGATGGGTACTTATGAGGTGGCACTGATAGGCAGCACCGATGGGCACTAATAGGCAGCAGTGAAGGGCACTTATAGGCAGCACTGATAGGTGGCACTGATAGGCAGCACTGATGGGCACTAATAGGCAGTAATGAAGGGCACTTATTGGCAGCACATAGTTGGCACTGATAGGCAGCACCGATGGGCACTAATAGGCAGCAATGAAGGGCAATTATAGGTGGCACTGATAGGCACGGATTGGCTGCACTGATGGGTACTGATAGGCTGCACTGATGGGTACTTATGAGGTGGCACTGATAGGCAGCACCAATGGGCACTAATAGGCAGCAATGAAGGGCAATTATAGGTGGCACTGATAGGCACGGATTGGCTGCACTGATTGGCTGCACTGATGGGTACTGATAGGCTGCACTGATGGGTACTTATGGGTGACACTGATAGGCAGCAGCACCGATGGGCACTATTAGGCAGCAGTGAAGGGCACTTATAGGCAGCACATAGGTGGCACTGATAGGCAGCACTGATGGGTACTGGGATAGGCAGCACCGATGGGCACTAATAGGCAGCAATGAAGGGCAATTATAGGTGGCACTGATAGGCACTGATTGGCTTCACTGATGGGTACTGATATGTGGCACTGATAGGCGACAATGATGGGCACTGATAGGCAGCACTGAAGTGCACTAATAGGCAGCAATGAAGGGCACTTATAGGCAGCACTGAAGTGCACTGATAAGTGGAACTGATATGCACTGACTGGCAGCACTGATGGACAATGATTGGCATTGATAGTCAGCACTGATGGTCACTGTTGTGGCTGCACTGATAATCAAAGCACTGATAATCAGTGTCCTGATTATCAGTGTAGATGACCCTTTTCACACTTGCCGGTTATCAGCAGTACTTTCCTCATGTTGTGACAGAGTGAGGAAAGTACTACCCATAACCGGAAGATTTGTTTACTTCATCATCTGCTGTGATTGGGTACAGCAGGATTTTGTCAGCAGATTTCAGCCAATGATTCATGGCCGAGACCTGCTGATCAGCTGTGTCCAATCACAGCATAGAGTCCTGTGTTGACAAATACACAGGGTTCTGTACAGAGGGAATGATCTTGTTGCTTCTTCTCCCTGCCAAGCAGGGAGAAGAAACAAACAGTTTTTTTTAGTAAAAAGCAGCACACATTACACACATGAACACTTGTTAGGCACATGCTTAACCCCTTGTTTGCCCCTAGATGTTAACTCTTTCCCAGCCAGTGTCATTAGTACAGTGTATAGTACAGTCACCGATCAGTGATACTGGTGATGTCAGTGTCAGTCAGTTTATCTACCTCCCACTCCGTGTCAGTATGCCCACCACACTGTCACAGTCCCTGATAGTCACTGATCACCACCATTACTAGTTAAAAAAAATAAAAAAATAAAAATTCCAGTATATGTACCACAGTTTATAGTCGCTATAACTTTCACACAAATCAATATACACTTATTGGAATGTTTTGGGGTTTTTTACCAAGCAGAATACATTATGGCCAAAATGCATGAAGAAAATTGATTTTTTATTTATTTTTACTTTTTTTTATTTTTTGTAAATTTTTTGTTTTGGTCAAAATTTTCAGGTTTGTTTTGTTTATATAATAAAAAAAACAAAAAAACCCAGTGGTGATCAAATACCACCAAAGAAAGATCTATTGGTGTGATAAAAATGATATAAATTTCATTTGGGTACAATGTTGCATGACCCTGCAATTGCCAACTAAAGTAGCGCAGTGCTAGATAGCAAAAAATGGCCTGGTCAGGAAGGGGGTGAAACCTTCCGCAGCTAAGTGGTTAATGCGTCTCTTTAAATCTGCGTAAGGATCAACTTTTAGATAGATTTTCAGATATTAAAATGGCGTATATTTCTTTTAGGCTTGTATTATAATATAGATTTAAAACTGTGCTTAAAAAATTATTTTATGTTTACAAAAATATGTATCAAACTTGCGCCAAGGAAATAAGTGAAGAATTAAATGCTGCTGTTCAAGGATTGACTAAACATCAAAAAATAATAATAAAAATAATTATTTTATGTTTGTTTTTTTTTTTTCCCAAAACAGAGCCATGCTCCATTATCTCATCCTGTTACTGGTTGTGGTGAAGCAAGGCGCCCCGAGCTACCGCCCCCTAGAGGAATCTCCTTGTGTAACGGTATGAAGTAAATGATAGGAGAGCATTCCGAGTGCGAATCCTCAATCAGACACCAAACACTTCTGTATCAGTTTGCAGTCAGTGGGCCTTTTTTTTTCTACCAAGGAATAGTCACAGCTGCTTGGATGCGTTTACAAGCCAGACAAGCAAGACATGATCCTACTGTGTATATATTACGAGGTCATGCCGCATGCGGAGATGTGCACAACTATGGCAGCATATATACCATCAGGGGCGGACTGACAAACTCATGGGGCCCCCCGGCAATAGGGGATCATGGGGCCCCTTTGTCCTTGCCCAAACTCAAAAAAGCCTATAAAAAAGGTGCCAGAGGCATTTCATGGAGCCCCCTACCAGGGGCGGATTGACAACTCATGGGGCCCCCGGGCAATAGAGGATCATGGGGCCCCTGTGTCCTTGCCCAAACTCAAAAAAGCCTATGAAAAAGGTACCAGGGGCATCTCATGGGGCCCCCTACTGGCCCCGGGCCCTCGGGCAGTGCCCGAGTTTCCACATGGTCAGTCCGCCCCTGTGTACCATACATACACTAAAAAATGTGTTTTGCTCAGCAGCATGTGCACCAGCATTGGAAAGTATGCCAACGAAGGGCTTGTTCACAGTTTGCTGAAATACCCGCAATTTCATGCGGCACATTGCATTAGGAACCCCCTTTATAATAAATGGGGTATCAATACTTTAAAAAATAACCCGTATAGTAGAATTGTCTAACATGTTATTGAATCTCCATAAATGAACCCGCTCCATTTCTATAAGGGAAACAGCTATTAAAGTAATAACTCGTTGGTATTAAACCCCCTCTAGAATTTATCACATGTATGTGGATTCTTCTGCGAGCTGTTTTAGGGGCTGCTCGGAGGTGGGCTCTTTCTTACATATTTTTTGGGATTGCATAGTTTTGAGGCCGATATGGCTTAAGATATATTCTACAGTCTCCCGTTTGGTGGCTGACCCCGTCGATCTCTCTCCATCGATATATTTATTATTTGCACCAGTTCCTGGCTTACCCCATATTATAACATAAAGCGCTGAGCGAAATGTTGGCGCTATATAAATCCTGTATAATAATAATTTTGATTGAAAAAGATACTTTATTACAGAAGTATAAAAAAACATGATACTCGTCATCGGGGTACATCTCACCCTATACTGCAACGCAGCGCACCACATTGCAATATAGTTCCAGACATACAATAAATACATTCAATAAATACATTCGCTCAGCGGTATGATGCCTGACGCGATGTGCGTGGCGAACGAATCCCCAGACCAACACGTCATGCATAACGCTGCTTACCCCGAGACCATAGCATGCTTAGAAAAACCATTTCCTACCATTACAAAATCATGCAAGGTACGATTATTACAATATACAATAAGCATCGGGTGTGAGGGGGGGAAAGGGGTCACAGGCCCGAAGCTTTATTGAAGGGACAAAGACACGCAAGGGGGAATAGGGGGAAGGGGATCTTCTGACGTCCTCTTCCTCCTTAACCCTTTCCCGCCGATGCCTCCCGGCACTTTAAGAGATTCCGACGCCGGGAGGCGGGGCGGTTGGGGCGTGGTTTAGGAATCATGTGACCGCCGTGATGACGCGTCACGGCGGTCACATGATCGGGAAAGGTCCCGTTCGAAAGAGCGGACTGGGACCTTTCCGTGAGTACCACACATGTGTGCTGGGAGCGCGCAGGGCGCGCGCTCTCAGCACATATGTATTTAGTTACATGGACGCAAATGTGCGGCCGCTCGGCGTCTAGGCCCAGACGCCGGGAGGCCGCACATTTGTGTGTGGCGGCCGGGGCAAAGGGGTTAAAGTCCATCAAGGTATAGTCCCTGAGCAGACTGAGGATCAGTCTGCGGCAGTCCTCAATGGACATCCTCTCCCGCTGGTGGATGAGGCGCTTCCTGGCGCACCATAAAGCGTCCTTAAAACAACACAGCACCCATGCCAGGTGCTGTCAATGTCCTCCAGAGTAAAAGTTCCACAGAAAAGTCCATTCAAAGCACCCCAAAGTGGTGTGATGGCTGTCTGTGGCACAAAGTCCTTGAGTTCAGGTTCCAGGGCCCTCAACAGGTCCTGAGCAAAAGAGCACTCCCAGAAAACGTGATGAGCCGTTTCCTCGTGGATGATGCAGAAGGGGCAGTGCCTGTATCTGCTCAGGTTCCTGGCATGCATGAATGTCCTGAGAGGCAACCCCCCTTGGGATTGCCATCCATGCCAGGTCCTTGTGCCTGTATAATAAATAATAATAACAACACAAGAAGCGATGATCCATACTATCTGTGTTTGCTACACAGTGGTCTATAGCCTTTTACTGGAAGAGCCCTTTGGTTCCCTTCTCTCATATCGTGGATAGAGTTGACTGCGTTATGCTTTTTTGAAATATTTTTTCATATGACCACTAAAACCATGCACATCTTTAATGCAAAATGGGACCCATGGCTTTCTATTAGAAAAACACTCAGTGAATAAGACCTCAATTTGTATGATTTTATATTTTTCCATGTTTGTTTCCATTTTTTTTTGTTTTTGCATTTTGGTAAATCAACAGTGTTTCGGTTTTGCATCGCAACAGTATTGTATTATACACTGTGTAAAGGTGGGAATACACGATTAGATAATCGACCGATCGGTCATCCGTTGACCGAGAGGTGTTCGTTCGTTGGTCGAAATCGTGGCCCATATTAACCAATCTAAAAAAAATTGTTCGTTGGGCAATACGTAGTGTTGACGTCTTCCGTACAAGTGGAAGTGATGCGGTGTGCGTGTGACCTTGTAGCCACGCCCTTCCGGCCAGAACGAGCGATCTACACAACAATTCCCAGCAATGAGTATGATATCGTTTATTACATGACCTTTATACATAAATAGTGATACATAAAATATAATCTGCAGAATTCTGCTTTCATTATCTCATTAGGCCAATCGACTTTTAACATTTGAATTTTTCGTTCGTGTTTACAAAGATTCCTTGGACATAAACATCCGGGTCATCTTCTGTTTCCGCTCATGCGTGATAGCGCTTGATAGATTTTTTTTCGTACGACCGTCATACCACCGCATAGAAAATCAGTCGTTCGTATGCGAAACGACAACATTTTTCACTGTTGTTCAACCAGATTTTTTTGTTCAAAATATCGTTATCGGTTAAAACATCCTGCTCATCAACAAAGAGAAAATCGTTTGATCAGTGATTCCGGGAAATTTTTCGTATGATTTGTTTATCATGTGTACGGGGCATTAGTGTCCTGTACTGATTTTATGTTCCTTGTTATACAAAATGAACATTATGTCTCTTTGTACAAACATATTTTGTTATGCTTCTTGATACTACAATGCATATTTTTATGTAATGACTTATCTGTTGTAATGTATACCACTTTTATACAAACTTTTCTAATAAACAGTTTTTAAACAGTTTGTAAACCAAAAAACAAAAATAACCCGTATATGGCCAAGCATTGCGTCTAAATCAGTGGTTCTCAATCTTCCTAATGCCGCGACCCTTTAATACAGTTCCTCATGTTGTGGTGACCCCCAACCATAAAATTATTTTCGTTGCTACTTCATAACTGTAATTTTGCAGTGGGAGGAGTAGTGCCACATCATTGGTGTCAGTGAGAGGAGTAGTGCCACATCACTGATGTCAGTGGGAGGAATAGTGCCACATCATTGGTGTCAGTGAGAGGAGTAGTGCCACATTACTAATGTCAGTGGGAGGAATAATGTCACATCGTTGGCATCAATGGGAGGAATAGTGTCCCAACATTGGTATCAGTGGGAGGAATAGTGCCACATTGTTGGTGTCAGTGGGGGGGGGGGGAATAGTGCCCCATCATTGATACTAGTGTGGGGGGGAATTGTGCCCCATCATTGGTGTCAGGGGGGGGGGTAGTGCCCCATCATTGGTGTCAGTGGGGGGAGGAATAGTGCCCCATCGTTGGTGTCAGTGGGGGGAGGAATAGTGCCCCATCGTTGGTGTCAGTGGGGGGAGGTATAGTTCCCCATCGTTGGTGTCAGTGGGTGGGGGGAGGAAATAGTGCCCCATCATTGGTGTCAGTGGGAGGAATAGTGCCCCATCATTGATACTAGTGTGGGGGGGAATTGTGCCCCATCATTGGTGTCAGTGGGGGGGGGGTAGTGCCCCATCGTTGGTGTCAGTGTGGGGAGGAATAGTGCCCCATCGTTGGTGTCAGTGGGGGAGGAATAGTGCCCTATCGTTGGTGTCAGTGGGGGGAGGAATAGTTCCTCATCGTTGGTGTCAGTGGGGGGGGGGGGGAAATAGTGCCCCATCATTGGTGTCAGTGGGAGGAATAGTGCCCCATCATTGGTATTAGTGACACCAATGATGGGGCACTATTCCTCCTACTGACACCAATGATACTTACCTTGCTGACTCCTGCTCCAGCCTGGGCTTGCTCCCTCCCTCTCCCATCTACAGCCAGCATACCTGGCTGCAGCAGCACCATCTGCATGCTACAGACACTTACCTGTCAGCTGTCTTCCTTCTCCGGCCGCTCCCTCGCTCGATCTTCTTTGATCTTCGCGCTGCTCGGCTCCTCCTCCTCGCCGGTGATTGGCCGCCTGTGTGCCTCTCCTGAGCTACAGTTCCAGCGGCCAATCACTGGCGAGGAGGCGGAGCTGTTGAGTGATCCCGGGGATGTGTCCAGATGACAGGGGCGGCATGTCATCCCACGCACACATCGCGGTCCAGGGAAATGTGGACGTATCTGCATGTGGGCGGACCCGCCTGGAGACTGATAGAGGAGCGGTGTCTCGGTTCCTAAGACCATCGGAAATATGTATTTTCCGATGGTCTTAGGAGACCCCTGTGAAAGGGTTGTTCGACCCCCAAAGGGGTCTTGATCCACAGGTTGAGAACCGCTGATCTAAATGCATTGCAGGGCTCTGTACATTTGTATTGGGGTGCAAACCACAACACACATCCCGAGTGCATTAGTGTGAGATGTGGTAGCACACA